TGTCAGTTTTTGTTTATCTGGGAATGTCTTAATTTCGCCTTCATTTTTTGAAAAGTAGTTAAAGAATTCTTGGTTGATAGTATTACTTTTTCAGTACTTTGAATATGTCTTCCCTTTGCCTTTCTGGCTTCCATGGTTTCTGGTGAGAAATTATTAATTTTATGGAGGATCTCTATACATGACAAGTCACTTATCTCTTGGTTATTTCAGGATTCTCTGGTTTTTTAGTTTATTTATAGTAGTTCATTGAGTTTTTTGGATGTAAGGTTTATATTTAGGGAACTTTTCAGTCATTTATTTAGATATTGGTGTGTTTTTTTTTAATGTTTATTTAGAGAGAGAGAGATAGCAAGTAGGGGAGGAGCAGAGAGAGAGGGAGAGAGAATTCCAAGCAGGCTCCACACTGTCAGTACTGAACACAACATGGGCTCGAACCCACAAACCATGAGATCATGACCTGAGCCAAAATGAAAAGTCAGACACTTAACTAACTGAGCCATTCAGGCACCCCAGATATTTTTTCTACCCTTTTCACTTCTCTCTCTCTCTCTCTCTCTCTCTCTCTCCCCCCCTCTCCCCCTCTCCCCCCCTCCCTCCCCCTCTCTCTGGGACTCCAGTTATGTGTATGTTGACATGCTTAATGGTGTCCCCCAGGTATCTTAGACTCCTTTTTTTTTTTTTTTTTTTTAATCTTTGATTTTTCTTTCTGTTTTCAGAGAAGTTAATCACAATTGACTTATCTTCAGATTCACTGATTTCTTTTTCTGCCTGTTCAAATCTGGTGAAAATTTCTAGTGAAGTTTTAATTTCACTAAAATTTTTTACATTTCAACTCCAGAATTTTTTTATTCTTTATCATGATTTATATCTATTTATATTTTCTATTTGTGGGACATCTATCTCATAACTTTCCTTTGGTTTGTTAGACATAGATTTCCTTTAGTTCTTTGAACATGTTTAAAGTAAGCGATTTGTGAATGTGGTTAAGTCTAATGTTTGTGTTTCCTTGGACACTTTATATTCACTGTCTTTGTTTTCCCATGTATATGAACGATTTTCTTTTAAGTCTTTTTTTTTTTAAGTGTTACTGTTTTTTTGTTGATATTGATAATCAGATATTCTCCCCTCCCCAGTGTTTGTTGTTGTTACTGTTTGTTTCTGTTTGTTTATTCTGAACTAATAAACAAAATTGAATTGAGTAAAATCTGCTTTCTTTAACATGGGTGACCACTGAAGTCTCTACTCATTGAGCTTAGTGTTCAACTAATAATTCAACAGAGGTGTCCTTAAATACCTGGAATCAGTGAGTCTCCCAGTTTTTGTTTAGAAGGTCTGTGTGTGTTGGAGCCTTCAGCATTCAGAAGAGAATTTTGTAACTTTGCCTTACTCTTAACTTGCTGCTTGTGTAGAGCTTCACGTTAGCCAGAGGTGAGTGCTTAGGGCCTTCTCAGTTTTTTCCTGAGCATGTGCACATACCTGTGCTTACATATGACCATCTAGATTCTCAGGAATATTTTGGAACTTTTTGAAGCACCCAGTTTTTCTTTTTAAGCTCTTTTGGTTAGCCTATTGTTTGTCTCAAGTGTTATCCACTGCCTTGGTCAGCTGCAATATGAAACAATTGCCTCTGATAGTTTTTGACAAATACCCTTGGGGCAAAGAGTTTTGTTTTGTTTTGTTTTGTTTTGCGTGGAGGGAGCTCTGAGGTCAAATCAAGATAGCTTTGGGAGTGGGGTCTTCCAGGAAACCACCAGACATGTCAAATAATGACAGTCCTCTGGGAATGTAGTAGTAGAGGCAGTCCACCTTCTTCTGCCCCCCTGATAGAACTGCCAGGCTGTTAGTTTTCACCAGGTTTGTGGCCTGTTGACTTTCAAAGCTACTATAAAGCTGGAGTGGGAGGCTGGGAATAGGGCAAAATAAAAATGCCACAGTTTGCTCGTCTTACTAAAATATAGCTATCTTTCTTGAATAAATTCTCCCCAGATTTCTGCGAGCCTTTGGTTAATTTCTAGTTTGGAAAATGTTGACACTATTTTTGCCAGTGTTCTTGGTTTAATGGAGATGATGCTTTTCAAATGTCCTTATTTTGATATTTTTGCTTATGTCTTACTGTTGAGTTTTGAGAGTTCTATATTCTGTTTTAGATGGCAGTCTTTTGTTAATGTAGTTTACAAATACTTTCTCCAACTCTGTCACTTTTTAATCATCTTAACAGGATCTTTCAAAGGGTAAAAGATTTTTGTTTTGATGAAGTCCAGCTTATCAAGTTTTTTCTTTTGTGGATCATGCTTTTGGTGTTATTTCTAAGAACTCTTTTTCTAGGTCTAGATCCTGATGATTTTTCTGTCTTCTACAGGATTAATAGTTTTACATTTTATGTTTAAATCTATAATCCACTTTCAGTTAATGTTGGTATAGAGTGTAAGATTTAAGTTGGTATCCTCTTTTTCTTCTGTCTGTATATTCAGTTGCTGTAGCACCAACTGTTGAAAAGACATTTTTTCTCCATTGAATTGCTTTTACACTTTTGTGAAAAATTCAGCTAGCCATCCTCAATAGGGCTTTGAGGAGGTTTTAGAAAATATAGAAGGAATACAAGGAGTTAATTCATTTTCTCATGTAGGGTTCGGTCAGATCCAAAGTGAAAAATCCACATACAAGTATAACTACATTGTTTAGAAATCAGGGGTAGGGGAGGGATGGTTAGAGAAGGGGTGGTGGGTAGTCTTGATTTTCATAACAAACTTTAATTGAAATCTTAAAATAATGTATTTGAATAATTTTAATTAAAGTAAAAACAAAATAGTATAATGCCAATGCTTTACTCAGGGGAAAATTCAAAGCCTTAAATGTCTATATTTTTAATAGTGTAATGTTTTTAATGTGGAAAAAAATACTCAGAATAACACATGGTAAAAATGTACAACTTTAGAATTCAGAAGTGCATACCTTCTTAACCCCTAGTCAAGAATTTAACACATTGCCACTCCTTCCACTCTGTTCCCTCCCAATCAGCCTCCCCCCTTGCCTTTGAGAGGCTACCATCCCACCTTTTATGGTAGTCACTTTTTTGTTTTATATTTTTATTACTTAAAAATACATTTTTGAGGTATATATTTTTTCCTATTAATGAAATTTGCATAATTGGATCTTGGCTTTTTTCAGCATTATTTGTGAGAGTCATTTATATTTTCACATAAAATTGTAGTTCATTCAGTTTCGTTGCTCTACAGGCATACCTCATTTTATCACACTTTGTTGAGCCATGCAAGTGCATTTTTTTTATTTATTTATTTTACAAATTTCAGGTTTGTGGCAACCCTGTATCTGCAAGTCTGTCGGCACCAGTTTTCCAACAGCATTTGCTTTACGTCATGTTTTTGTGTCACATTTTGGTAATTCTCACAACATTTCACACATTTTATTGCTATATTTCTTACGATGATCTGTGACCAGTTATTGTTGATGTCACTACTATAATTGCTTTGGGGTGCCAGAAACCACGATGGCCTGGTAAACTTAATAAATGTTGGTTGTGTTCTGATTGCTCCACTGACTGGCTGGCTGTTCCCATTTCTCTCCCTTTATTTGAGCCTCCCTATTCCCTGAGACACAATATTGAAAATAGGCCAATTAATAATCCTACAATGGCTTCTAAGTTTTTAAGTGAAAGGAAGAGTTGCACGTCTCTCACTTTAACTCAGAACCTGGAAATGATTAGGCTTAGTAAGGAAGGCATGTCAAAAGCTGAGATAGACTGAAAGCTAGGCCTCTTGTGTCAGTTAATGTGTGAATGCACAGGAAAAGTTCTTGAAAGAAATTAAAAGTGCTACATCAGTGAACACATGAATAATGAGAAAATGAAACAGCCTTATTTCTGATATGGTTGAAAGTTTTAGTGGTTTGGATAGAAGATCAAATCAGCCACAACATTCCCTTAAGCCAAAGCCTTATCCAGAGCAAGGCCCTTCAGGGGAGATAGCTCAGGGATAGAGCATTTAATTACAGAGCAAATCCCTCTCTTCAATTCTGGAAAGGCTGAGAGGTGAAAGGCTGCAGAAAAACTGTTTGGAGCTAGCAGATTTTGGTTTGTGAGGTTTAAAGAAAGAAGCCTTCTTTAGAACATGAAAGTGCAAGGTGAAGCAGCAAGCGCTGATATAGAAGCTGCAGCAAGTTATTCAGAAGATATCTAGGTAAGATAATTAACAAAGGTGGCTACACTAAACAACAGATTGTCATTATTGACAAAGCAGCCTTCTAGTGGAAGAAGATGCCATCTAGGGCTTGCATAGCTAGAGAGGAAAAGCCATTGCCTGGCTTCAAACGTCAAAGAACTGGTTGACTCTTGTTGGGGGCTAATGCAGCTGGTGAAACCAGTGCTCATTTATCATTCTAAAAATCCTAAGGCCCTTAAGAATTACACTACATCTACTCTGCCTGTGCTCTATAAATGCAATAACAAAGCATGGTTGACAGCACATCTTTTTATAACATGTTTCATTGACTATGTTAAGCCTACTGTTTGACCTACTCCTAGGAAAAAAGATTCCTTTGTAAATATTACTGACAATATACCTGGTCAAGAGCTCTGACAAAGATGTGTAATGAGGTGAATGTTGTTTTCATGTTTGTTAACACAGCATCCATTCTGCAGCCCATGGATCAAGGAGTAATTTCAAGTCTTATTTAAAAAGTACATTTTGTAAGACTGTAGATGCCATAGTGATTCCAAAGATAGATATGAACAAAGTAAATTGAAAACCTAGATTCAGGGGCGCCGGGGTAGCTCAGTCAGTTGAGCATACGACTCTTGATTTCAGCACAGGTCATGATCCCTGTCATGGGTCATGGAATCGGGCCCTGCATTGGGCTCTGCACTGAGCCTGTAGCCTGCTTAAGATTCTTTCTCTCCCTCTGCACCTCTCCCCTGCTTGCGTGTGTACTCTCTCTTACCTGTCTCTAAAATAAAAAAATAAAACCTGGATTCACCATTTTAGATGCCATTAAGAACATTCATAATTCATGAGAAGCGGTCATAATAACAACATGGACAGCAATTTGGAAGAAGCTGAATTCAACCCTCATGGATGACTTGGAGAGAGGTTCATGACTTCAGTGGAGGAAGTAACTTCAGGTGTGGTGGAAATAGCAAGACAACTAGAAGTGGAGCCTGAAGGTGTGACTGAATGGCTGCAATCTCATGATAAACCTTGAACAGGTGAAGAGTTGCTTCATAAGGATGAGCAAAGAAAGTGCTTTTTAAAGATGCACTTCAGTCCTGGTGAAGATGCTGTGCAGATTGTTGAAATGACAACAAAGGATTTACATATTATATAAACTTGATAAAGCAACAGCAGGGTTTGAAAGGACTGGCTCCAATTTTCAAAGAAATTTTACTGTGGCTAAATTGTTTTCAAACAGCATCACTTGCTACAGAGAAATAGTTCATGAAAGGAAGACTCATTTGATGTGGCAAATTTGTCTTATTTTAAGAAATTGCCGCAGCCACCCAACCTTCAGTAGCCACCACTCTAATCAGTCAGCATCTATCAACTCTGAGGCAAGACCAGCAAAAAGATTATGACTCATTGATAACTCAGAAAATGGTTAGTATTTTTTAGCAATAAAATATTAAAAATATAATATAATATAATATAAAATTAAGGTATGTACTTTTTTTTAGACATAATGCTATTGCACACTTAATAGACTATACTATAGTGTATACATATATGTATACACTTTTATATGTACTGGGAAACCAAAAAATCATTTTACTCACTTTACTATTTTGCTTTATTGTGATGGTCTGGAACTGAACCCATGCTGCTTGTCAGGTATGCCTGTATAGTACAGTACATTATATGAATATCCTACAATTTATCCATTTTGTTATTTGTGGAAACTTGGATTGTTTCTACTTTTTAGGCTTTTATGGATAATGCTGCTATGTATTTACTTGTGCATGTCTCCTCGTGTACTCATGCACACATTTATATTGAGTAAATATCCAGGAGTTTAATAGCTTGGTTTTAGGGTACATTTATGTTTAATGTCAGAAGATACTAAATTTTTTTCCAAAGTGTTTTGTAACAATTTACAATCTCATCAACACTTCTGCATTTCAATTTTACCAACACTTTATATTGTTAATCTTTAATTTTAGTCATTTTAGAGAGTGTGTAGTGGTTTTAGTTCCCATTTGCCAGTTTCCAAATGTATCAATTGATGCCCCTTTTTTTCCTGAGTATGGATCACAATCTCCTCTTTCTTTGTGTAGGATATAATTTTGCTTGAAAACTGGACATTATATTAACACGTTTTAGTGACTCTGGTTTCTGTTAGTGTTTTTCTGAGATTTGTTGGGTGAGGTTTATAGTCTGATTTTGATGCTTGCCCTGTGGTTTTCTTCTAGGGATTCCACTAGTTTTCATCTGTTCTCCTGAGCTATGGTTCTGTCCTCTGGCACTTCAGCCTTGTAAGGCTTCACCTTCTTGTTGCCCAAATGGTGCACACTTGAGAAATGCACTCTGTTGAAAAAGCATCAGTAGTACAGCTCTGTTTTTCATGTGTAAAAATACTGGCCTCTGCCAGATTTTTTTCCCTTGACCCCTGCAGTTCTCTTTGCATACTTCCTTCATCAGTCATCTGGTGATTTGAGCAAAGTTTATACTGATAATTTTTTCACTACTTCTCCGATTCTCTCACTGCTAGTTCTCTCACTTAAATTTCTATTTCTATTTTCAGCTGCTTCTCCAGGCCTAAAATCTGATAATAATTCTGTATTATCTTTTTCCAGAGATAATTTTTGTTTGCTTGTGCCTCACCTGGGGTGACCAGCAATCTGGGATTACTTTATTTAAATTTTAGGGATTGAGTTTGTTTTGTTGGTTTGTTTTTGTTTTAATTTGCTCAGCTAAAGCCTTTAGGTAAGGCTGCAGTACATGCAAGGACTTGTTTACTTCTGGCTCACTAGAGTTTAGTCCTTTGGAGTCTCAGTTTAATAGCGGGCAGTATTCAGTATGGCTCCCACCATTTCTGAACTGCATTCCTGTTTTGGTCCCCTTAGCTCTAAAACAACGTCAGAAATTATGATCAGTGTCTCAGCTGCCTCATCTGTATTGGTAAAAACCCCCAAGGCAAAGAAACATCCTTGGATGCTGGGTTTGTATCAGTAGGTTTCCATCCCATCTTGGATCTTGGCCAGGTCATTCTTTACTGTTGTGTTAACTTTTTGGTGCCTTCAAATTGATAGTTTTTTAAATATTTTGTTCAGTTTCTCTAGTAGGTACTTCAGTAGGAGGATTGATAAGTTATTTACTATTCTGCTATTACTACAGTTATTTCGAAAATGTTTGGATTGATGGGTGCATATAGTGTCATTATGGTAATGATTAAAGCTTTTGGCTTGGGTTTTTTCTATGGTGGCTTCATTACTAAGTATGTTGTGACGTGGCAGAGATGCTGCTGGCTGCCCTGACATACGTAATTCTCATGGCTGTTATTTCCACTGAAGAGTGTATCTTTCCTAGTACTTGGAAACATCCTGGGAAGGATTCCCAATTTCCCACACTGGCCTGCCTCCTCATCTATGAACAAATTGCTGTGGCTGCCTGAGGAATTCTCATCAGCCTGGATGCCACTTGTTCATCCCTCAGTCCAGAGGCCTATGGTGCCACTTTAACAGTTGAGTGAAGAGTGTTTTATTAATGGGCAGTCAGGGTGCCATTAACATAAATCAGAAAAAGATGTTAGGTAAGATAGCAGATTGCTCGTTAATAGTTTTCATAGATCATTTTGGAGGACCCTGAAAATTTTCATTATATGGTTATATCTAGTAAAGCTGTCTAGCAACAGAATTTCACAAAAAATAATAGTTGACTGGTAACATTACTTGTAAAAAGGATTTTGCTCAGTTTATATGTCTCTTGAAATTGACAAACTCACAAGATGTTTTGTAGAATCACTGCTAATAAAAGAGTAAAAGAGACTTTTATGTCTCTTTTTTCCTTGCCTTCAAAAATTGAGGTCAATTGTTAATCTAAAATAACTCTTCTAGCGACTCCTGGGTGGCTCAGTTGGTTGAGTGTTCAACTTCGGTTCAAGTCATGATCTCACAGTTCGTGAGTTTAAGCCCCTGTTCAGATTCTGTGTCTTCCTCTCTCTCGGCCCCTCACCCACAAAATAAACATTAAAAATTTTTTTAAATGTTTAAGAAAAATAAAAATAACCCTTCTAGGGATAAGAATAATTTAATTTGGTTTCTTTAGGATTGAGTTGTATCAGTTTGCTGTTACTGTATAATAGACTACAGTAAAACCTTGGTTTGTGAGTATAATTTGTTGTGGAAATGCTTATAATCCAAAGCACTTGTATAGCAAAGCAAATTCAAGAACCATTGGCTCAGTTGTGATCATGTGACATTCGGTGTCACCTACTACTCAAATTGCAAGACATCACTTGTTTTAAAATTTATTAGAAATGTTTGCTGGTCTTGCGGAACACTCACAGAGCAAGTTACTTGCAATTCAGGGTTTTACTTGTACTCTAAAACTTGGTGGTTTAAGACAAACCTTTATTGTTAAAACAAGTCTGTAAGTCAGCTGGGCAGTATTTCTGGTCTTGCCTGGACTCATTTATGAGTCTGCATTCAGCAGCAGGTCAGGAAGGTGGTGTTGGTACTCTTGACTGAGTTCCCTAGGGTGGCCTGTGGTGGGACATTTGGGCTGTCCTGTTATCCTCCAGCAGATTAGAGGAGGCTTGTTCTCATGATGGTAGCAGGATTCTAAGAAGAACCATGCAAGGTCTCCTGAGGTCTAGCTCAGAATTTGTGAACTGACGTCTGTTATATTCTATTGGTCTTCCTTATAAGGAAGCCTAGATTTAAGGGTAGGGGAAAACACTCTACCTCTTGATGGGAGAAACTGCAAAGCCTCATTGTCAAATGCATGAATAATGGGGAAATGTAGAATTGGAGCTGTTTTTGCAGACAGATTTTTGATTCATGATGTAAAATTAATATTCTATATTTGTTTAGTTCCAGGTTGACTTTTATTATATTTCAGGAGGAATTGTGTTTGCATATAGAAGTTTAGGCAAGTATAAATTAAATATGTCAATCTGTTCAGAGGTCCAGGTGATTCTAGTTACGTATGTTTCATTGGATATATCTAATGACATTCTGGAAGCATCGTTCATGCATTGAATTACCAAAATTGTAGTACCAGTTGTAGATGTTGAAAGAGGATTTATTTTCACCTCTACTCTTTTTTGGTTATAAATGACAGTATTCTTTTTGTATTCATTATTGTTACTCTAACTTCTTTAATTAGAGATTTCATTGTTTTCTCAAGTTTATTAATATTTGTATATTGTGATCTTATAATCCGTTTTATTGAAGTGTAATTGGTATGTAATAAATCATGTTTTATGTGTACAATTTGAATACATTTCGTATCTGTGTATACCCATGAAATCATCACCACAATGAAGATTATAAACTTCTCCTTTACCCTCAAACTTTACTTGTGCCCCTTTTAATCCTTTCATATTTATTGCTCCTCCCTTATGCAGTATATAATCTTTTTGTGTATATTTTTTTCAGTCAGCATAATTATTTTCAAATTCGTATACATTGCATGTGTCATTAGTTCACTCCTACTTATTCCATTGTAAAACTGTAAGGGTTCACATGTTGGTGGACAATTTTTCCTTCAACTTTTGGCTATTACAAATAAAGGTGAACGTTTGTAAGTTTTTATATGAGCATATGCTTTCATTTCTTTGGGTAGATACCTAGAAGTGGAATGACTGGATCATATGTGTAGTAGTTGTATATTTGACACTTTAAGAAATGGTGAAACTTTCTACAAAGTTCTCTTTCAGTTCTGGTGGCTACTGACATTCCTGACTGTGGCTGCAATCTTCAAAGCCAGTGTTTCAAATCTCTACTCTGTCTTCACCTTCTCTTTGTATAGTCACATTTCCCTGTCTCCCCTCTTTCAGGAATATATGTGACTGTACTTAGGGCCCACCCAGATAATCCAGGGTATTCTCTCCATCTCAAATTTTTAACTAATTACATCTGTAAAGACTTTTCTTTTGGGAGGAGTGGTCATACAAGGTAATATTCACAGGTATTAGGATGTGCATTCTCTTTTGCAGGGCCAATGTTTTTCATCCTTTCACACTCAGCAACTCCTAGTGGACTTTTTTAGTCCTCTCACTTTGATTTATAGTTTAGTTTGCAATAGGTCACAGTATCCAGTTCTGGGTAGGTAAAGATTGGTGGTAGTGGATGGCAGAGAGAATATTCTTGTCTCTTCTAGACATTATGTAGAAAACTCCAGGCCTGTGATTCTCAGTTGTGGCCCTGGAAATAGCAGCATGATCTTAGGAACTTACTAGAAATGCAAATTATTAGGCTCCAACTTAGAACTACTGAATCAGGAGCTCTGAGGGTGGGGGCTGGCAGTCTGTATAACATGCTCTCTAGATGATTCTGATGTATGCTAAAGTTTGTGAACCACCTTTCTAGTTTATTGACATTATTAGTATTAAAACCATATTCACCTTCTTCTCCAACTCTTTTTTGCTTAAGTCCAATACTTTAATTAGTTTGGGAATTATAGTCCACAAACTTTGTTTTCAGTAGGGATGCAAACATTTAGAACCAAAATCTTGGTACTGATGATCAGTGAAATTAATTAATTTACTCTATAGAAGTTTGCATTGGTCTGATTTTTGTCAGTTGTATCTTACTTAGATGTAGTTATTTCATAAAGTAATGTTACTGTATTCAGAAGTGATACGAACTTTTTTTCTCTAGTCCTGGAAATGTGAATTAAACTCATTAGCCTGAATTTTACTTATTTCCCTATGTACATTTTGGGATACAACACAAAATTTCTTATCTTTCATTCAGCCTACATTGTTGTACTTTTACCACGTACCATCCAGTGAAAATGCTGAAATAAGCTGAGTGACTTCTTGGCCTCAGTGTGTCCACACTGTAGTTCAGAAAAACACACAAGTAAACAATTGATACAGAGCTATCACCAGTTGTTAATAGCAATTGAGAAACACAACATCGCTGAAGAAATTAGAGAAGGATCTTTCAGGATAACTAATATTCAAACTAATATTTGAATATTGCAAAACTAGTAAAAAATATGTTAGCAAAGTTAGAGACAGTAAGTGTAGTTTGCCATGTTAAAAAGCATGAAAGTTGAGTGTGCGTGGGAGCTGTTCTGGGAGTTGAAGGGGTTTAGTATTAGAAACCTGGAGTGAATGGGAGAGTAAAGATTGGGGATAAATCGATAAGGATAAGATCATTGATGAGTAGTGTTGAAGGACTTGAAGCATAGATGTGACATCTTCAGGATAGCTGTTTGAAAATGAGGACTTACATGATTCTGAGAAGGATGAATTTGAGATGATAGTCTGGAAATAGAGCAGTTACAGTAATCTAGGTGAGAATGGCAGTAGGTATGGTGGTGCCATTTTGGGGGAATAAGAATTTAAAAGAGTAACAAGCTTGTTTCAGGTAAGGAGAGGAGATGTGTAGAGTACAGAATAAGACATACTGAGTTTTCAGAATTTGTGAAATGTGAAAAATTAGAGGTAGGTAATTTTTCAAGTATAAGGGAATGTTGGGGTGGCGGTCACATTATGCTAGATTGTAGGTTAAATTGAGGAAGTAGGAGAGTATCAGTATATACTGCCTTCTAGAATAATGGCCCATGGCATTTAGCAAATAATCATTGTTAGTCATTATTACAGTTGTTATTAGTGTATACTTTTATGCCATCTCATACTGTATTTTTATCTTCAGCTTTTTGGTGTACTTTTTGGCATGTATGTAATAGTATTAGACAAACATCTAGATAGAGGTGTGTGTTTTAACAAATACTGATTTTAATTATTGCTATACTATTAAAATTAATCAAATAAGTTATTGTAAATCTTTAAAAAATTTTATTTATTTATTTTTGAGAGAGAGAGAGAGACAGACAGACAGACAGAGTGTGAGCAGGTGAGGGGCAGAGAGAGAGAGGGTGACACAGAATCCAAAGCAGGCTCCAGGCTCTGAGCTGTCAGCCCAGAGCCCCATGCAGGGCTCGAACTCACGGATTGCAAGATCATCACATGAGTTGAAGTCGGATGCTTAACCAACTGAGCCACCCAGGTGCCCCATATTGTAAATCTTTTTTTAAAGATAACTAGAAAGATTAAGTTTCTCATTTGAATATATCTCAGTTCATCAAAAAGGTAGTATTTAGCAAGTTTCCTAAAAGTTTAAAATGATCGTGTTTTAGTTGAATGACTTTTTCAGATGTTACATAAAGAAAATAATTAGATTTGCAGTTTTTAATTTAAAACAATAAGTGTGTCATAGAAATGTACTTATTTCTATCTGAAGCAGAAAACTAAATGATGGTCTTTGCATGTATTTTTTCAGGTTTGAGTTAATTTCGAATGAGATTGTTTTTGCAACGAGATGTTAATAAGACAAAATCTAGGTAAGTAGAAGACTTTGTTAAGTGTTACGTATCAAAGTAGGAATAATACAAAAAACTTATGTTTTAAAAATGTGTCTTCAAGTTCAGAATTAATGAGTTTTTCAATAAAATTTTGAAATATGAAGAACTGACTTTGATGTACTTGCTCCAGTTGATTTGGTGGAAGTAACAGTAGAGCTATGAAATTGTGGAACTAAATTCTTCATTTTCCTTCTTTATGTTGAGTTTAATGCAGTTTCCAGTGACTATTAAACATAGAAAATTGAGTTGGCATTTGGTTTAGCTATTCAGAAACCAGTTCAGTAAGAGATTTGCTAGATTGCTTCAATGTTTTCTTAGTGGATGATAGTACTTGAGTAGTTTTTGCCTTTGTGAATTTTACTTTTTTGTTTCTATTAATGAAGCCCTTCTACAAATTGATTAAATTTGCCAAATTGTGTTTTTTTAATGTTAGTATAATGTTCAGAACTGTAAATGATAATATTTTTCTTATGAATATTTGTACTGAATGACTTTCTAATTTAGCATTGTGCTTTGCTTTAATTTTTTAAGACTGTTGATTTTCAGGAAATTGAATTGTGATCATGTACTTGTTTGGTTTGGTATATGGGGTTTCAATAATACAAGCTGTTGAGATGTTAAAAGGATACATTTGCTGTCTTTTGGTAAATGAATATGGTTTCAGGATATAAGCAGATTAAAAAGAATACTTTGATAAATTGTAGTTAATTTGGTCTTTCTCCAATCTAACCAGATGTTTCAGCTGTCAGAAACTTGCTGATTTCAAAGTTAAAAAAAGAAAAAAAAAAGCCCAGAGTGAGAAGTGCTGTGGTTGAGTAATATGCAGTTAAACAATGTATTCTCAGTAAGTAGTTTAGGCATAATTGGAAGGAGAGTTTCACTTTTATTGCTATTACATAATAATTGTAATGACAGTGTGAAGAGTTCTTACTGTGCTCTATATTGTGTTAACTGCTTCTCATGCCTTATTAATCTTTATAGTACTTCTTGTAAGGTAGGTATTGCTGTATAGAAAATTTTTATTTTTTTTGTTTATAGTGAGCTATTTCTTTTCTTTGGGAAAAGTACACTGTTTTCACAGCATTTATTATAAAGAATACTTGCCTGTATATCTTCTTGTAGGGGAAAAGAAGCTAGACTTTTTTACATAACGTCTTATAGGGATTTTGTTTGCTAATTGAATATACAGCGTCTGTTAGAACCTTCATTCTGATTTCTTAAAAGTCAGATATTGCTTAAGGGATGACACTGGTTTAATTTATTCTGGCCTTATTCTACCACAATTATGTATGCATTTTTTCTTTTTTTAGTAAAATATGTACATTTTTACATAGATTAAGTTGTAATTTATATGTGGTAAAATTTAAAGTATAGAGCTAAATGGGGTTTTTACCTATATGTTCACACATGTAACTACCATAGAGGTCAAGATACAGAACATTTTCATTGCCCAGAAAATTCCTCATACTCTTGCCTTTCCAATCCAATGCCTTTCCCCCTGAGGTAAGCATCTTTCTGAATTTTATCAGCATAGCTTAATTTTGCTTGTTCTTGAATTTTATGTATATAGAATTCTATGACATTATACTCTTTTGTATGGCTTTTTCCACTCAACATAGTATTTTTGAGTTTTCTCCATGTGGTTGTATCGGAAGTTCATTACTTTTTATTGCTGAGTAATATTCCATGCTACATATTTTTTTCTCTGTAATTTTTTTTTTATTCTCCAAGTCTCTGACCTCACTTGCCAGCATTCTACATTGCTTTTTTTCCCTCTAGTTGTCCCCTTCATTGTTCCCCTGTCACCTGCGCAAGAAAATGTAGACTCTGTAATATGGCATACAGTGGTCTCACTGCAGCTATTCCAGAATGCTAGAATTGTCTGAGTAAAATAAGTATGATGTTTCATATATTTAGTTTTAGTCCTGATTAAATGTGTCACTCTTCCCCAGCCCCTTGTCTCCCCAGCTGCCATTGTCCTTCCTCCTCGTTGTCAGGTTATCTCCTGAAATAGTCCATCTGAAGCATTATCTTGTCCTTTGAGCCAGACCTAACACTTTCGCAGTAGTATGTTTTCTTTACTGGACTTTGGTGAGCTCTTTGAAGGGAGACACCACCAGTGTCTTACTTATCTTAGTAGCACAGTGCCAGAGTACTGTGTGTACTTAATGAATGTTTGTAAAACATAGAACACTGAATAGAGTTCTGTCTCGGACAAGTAGGGATTGAGAATACTGACTGGAATGGGGTGAGGACATTGGCACTTCAATTGCTATTGCGCTGTATGAAGGAGCCAATGAGGCAATACAGAAGCAGCATTATAGACATTTTGGAAGGAGAAATAAAACCTCCCTCGAGTCTTCTTTCAGTCCAGTTGAAAAAAATGACTCGTAATGTTCTTAGTTGAGACCTTAAAGAAAACCGTGTTGGTTTTGATTATTCTTTTCAAATGAAGGTATTAATCCATGTTATGGCAATTGGAGTGTTTAGTACTAATGGTATTCTTTTTGTGAGTTTGTGCTACTTATTTCTTTAAAGATTTTTAAAGATGTATTGGACTAATACAAGCAGAAGATTAGGAAGACTGGTCACATCTAATAAAGAAAACTTTTTCTCATTTTCCTGAGGGTAAAAAAAAATACTGGAGTAGAGAAGGAAATTGAATCATAGTCTGGAACTATGATAACATTTCTGATTTCTGTAGCTTAGGAAGCTTGCTGTTTGATGAAAAATATTTTTAAAAATTTTGTTTTACCTTTGTAGGTCTATAATATATATAAAAAATACACTTTCTTAAGAAATGAAGCTTTTAGAATATTTTAAAGCATTTTATACTAGTTTTTTTTCTTCCATGTTTGAAATTTGGCTAGTTGGGTTGGCTGTTGTAGTCACCTGGGGGATTTTTATGCCTTCTAGCAAGTCCAAAGCAAGGAGAGTTTCTTCCCCACTGGGATCAATTTGTTGCTTTTCCTCTCTGCAGCTTCTGCCATAAAGGTTGAACACAGAGTTGGACATTGACCCCATCTCCTGCTGTTTCTTCTGATCCCTACAAGGATTTTCATAGACATAGATCTTATCAAATGTAGAACTTCAGTTATTTGTTTTATTTTATCATGGATGTGAAGTGTGTTTAGTTTTCTTGTTGATAAAATTTGAGTATTCGGAGAAATTTAACCTTGAGGTTGTTTGACTTAACATGTATTTGAAAGATTTTAGACTAGTTTTTCTTCTCAGAAGCTGATAGGTATACCTCAGTTTCAGATTCTTCCCCTTCGTTTTGCCCTTCAATATTTTATATGGTCAGCAGCTGCTTTTTTCATTTTGCAGAGTTCCTAAGTCCAATAGGATTTGAATTTCTTTATGAATATTTATCTTATGTTAGCTAATTTCCTTAATTTTCTTTTTTTTTTTTTTTAATTTTTTTTTTCAACGTTTATTTATTTTTGGGACAGAGAGAGACAGAGCATGAACGGGGGAGGGGCAGAGAGAGAGGGAGACACAGAATTGGAAACAGGCTCCAGGCTCTGAGCCATCAGCCCAGAGCCCAACGCGGGGCTCGAACTCACGGACCGCGAGATCGTGACCTGGCTGAAGTCGGACGCTTAACCGACTGCGCCACCCAGGCGCCCCTAATTTCCTTAATTTTCAAATTAATCTCTCTATGCTTCACTTTAGTAGCAGTGTAGTTGTGCTGCCCTTTGTTGTAATGTGAAAAAGAAAACTTTTAAATTAACAAAAATATGTTCTTCGTTCTAGATGAGATTGCACAATGTGCATTTTACCTTTTTCAAATATATTCCAAGTAACATTTAGGATTTTGGAAATGTTATTTTTTAAAGAAGTCACATAAGCTTATTTGCATAAGAGCAAATAATATAGAAATGTTTCCAATAAGTAAAACTTCCCTCTCTCACCCAGCTCTGTACTCCCCATAAATCATCAGAAAGAACAGGTATATATTCTACATCTTTCTCTTCCAGTTGCCAGTTATATCTTGGACATTTTTCCATATATGTATTACATTTAATATAATTGTTTCCTTACTGATAGAGATACTTGGGTAAATCTCAGGGTTTTTTCCTGTTTATATAATGCTGCAATCAATATTCTTCACTGTATATATGTTTCACTAAATTATTGGAATTGTGTGAGAATGTAGGATAATTTGTAGCAGTGGTTTGCAGGTGAGTGTATATGTGCATTTTAATTTCTGATATATATTGCAAAATTGCAATAAGATTGTATCACTTAACATTTTTGTTAGCAGTGTTTGAGAATATCTCTTTCCCCACACCCCACTGAATATTAACTTGTGTTTTAATCCATGTCAGTCTAATCAGTGAAAAGTGTATTTATTGGTGCATTTTTTTTAATTAGAAGGATTTTAAATTTCTAGGTCTTTTGAGAAAGCAAAATTAATGTGACACAAATTGGAACATCAAATTAATAAATTTCACAACAAGCCAAAGTAATTTTGCTACAAAACGAACCCACTCATTATAGCATAGCGGTGTTTCAAATTTTTTTTTTTCAACGTTTTTATTTATTTTTGGGACAGAGAGAGACAGAGCACGAACGGGGGAGGGGCAGAGAGAGAGGGAGACACAGAATCGGAAACAGGCTCCAGGCTCTGAGCCATCAGCCCAGAGCCTGACGCGGGGCTCGAACTCACGGACCGCGAGATTGTGACCTGGCTGAAGTCGGACGCTTAACCGACTGCGCCACCCAGGCGCCCCAGCATAGCGGTGTTTCAAATGGTAGAGTTTCTACTGGTCATTGAACTCCTTCATTCTTCTGATGGCAGACTTTACTGTGGCAGTGGAGGTGGTGTTGCAGGTCCAGGCACTACCAACTACCATTTTCACGCAGGAATCCCAACGCCAGATGCCCACAGCTTGTCTTTTTATCTTGGTTTTGTCCCAGAAGGAGCAAGTGTACTTGATGTGCTGGCTTATTTCATTATTCTTCACCATTTTCCT